TCTGCTGGGTTTTCTTTGTACTGGGTTTTCTTTGATTGGAAGCAAAAGTAATTTTTTTTCTTAGGGAAGAAAAACTGGTATAGTCATTAAAATAAGGTATGTTGACTTACTTGGGGAATGAGTGTCTCTTTCAGTTCCCAGCAACAATAGTTACTTTAGGAAATTATGAAGTCTGTCCTAGTAACAGAAAGCACAAAACACCCATTTCAAATTCATGACCTTTCTGTAGATCTTGGGATTCCCAAAAGCAGAGAATCTCCTTGAGAAAATAGGTATATTGCAGATGAAAAAGAAAAATTCACACACAAATTACAAGATTGACTCCATTCATGGGTGTTGATCTGGGGAAGGAGGAGCAGGGAGGGGGGATTGAAAGATCAAATGTTGTATCTCATTGTAGACCTAAGAAACAGGGTAAAACCAACTTGGCGTTAAGAGCAAGGAAGACTTATGTTGTTGAAGATGACCCAGGAAAGTGGCTAATCTAAACCTTTTCTTCTCTCCTCAAAGGCACCTATTTCCTTCCTTTCCCCCATCCCCCTTAGCTGAAGACCTCACCTCAAATTTTTCCAAAACAGTTGAGGCCTTTCAGTGACAGCTCCCCCCCACTCTCCATCTCATATCACTCAGATATCTCCTCCTTCTATTTTTTCCTCAACTCTATCTTGCAAGAAGTGGCCCTTTTCTTTGCCAAGGCAGACTTCTCAAAATATGTCCTTGATCCCATCTCCTACCATCTTCTCTAGCCCATTGCCCCCACTGTTATCCCTCATTTCTCTCCCTTCCATCTCTCTACTGTCGCCTTATCTGCTGCCTACAAACATGTTCATTAAAAAAATCCTTTGATCTAAACATCCTCACTAATTACCATTCTGTATATTTCCTACCCTTCTTAGCTATACTCCTTGAGAAAGCCAGCATATTAGATGGCTCTACTTCATCCCCACTTATTTTCTTCTAAACTCTTTATAATCTGACTTCTGACCTCATAATTCAACTGAAACTGTGCTCTCCAAACTTATCACTGATCTCTTTAATTGTCAAATCTCATGGCCTTTTCTTAATTCTCATCCTTCTTGAACTCTCTGTAGCCTTTTGATCACTTTTGATCACTCATTCCTTCTAGATACTCTCTCCTGTCCAGGTTTTTATGACACTGTTCTCTCCTGGTTCTTCTTCTACCCATGTGATTCCTCCCATTCAGTCTCCTTTTCTGGATCTCTATTCAGGTCATGTCCACTAACTGTGTGTGGGTATGTCCCCCAAGGCTTTGGATTGGGCTTTCTTCTCTTTTCCCTTAATACTGTCTCATTTGCTGATGTCATCACCTCCCAAGAATTCAATTAACATCTCCATGCCGATGATTCCCAGAGCTATGCAAGGTATCTCATAAGTCTCAATGCAGTTTCATATACAGGATACTCTTTTTGTAAGTTCACTGACATATATAATTTTTATACACTAATGTTACAGCAGTGACCATGGATGATATAAAGTATAACTTTATATTCCATGTATTCCCAAATTTGGGTCAGAAATGGTAACTTTACAGAGTTTGAGATGAAAGAGACCCCCAGAGGTCATCTAGTCCAATCTCCACCTCAGTAAGAATTCTTTCTACAGTATCATCACCCCACCCTCACCCTCAAAGAAGTTATCAAGTCTGTACTTGAAGATGTCCGGTGATAAGGAATATGCTACCTTCTAGCAGATGTGGCTGTCAGGAAATGTTTTCCTTATATTCAGCCTGTATTTTTCTAATATCTGTTTCTTTGTGGCTTTCAGAGGCCAATGAGAACAAGGATAATCATTCTTCATTTAACAACCCTTCACGTGCTTGAAGATTGTTATATTGTCCCCTTTCTCCCACATCTTATCATATCTGTCCTCAACATTTCCAGTTCCTTCAGTTGGTCCTTAAACCTGCTTCATTTCATCAGTATCTTTCTGAAAATGCAGAGGTGAACACAACATGTCAGATGTGATCTGACATAGGGTAGAGCAAAAAAGTTAGTTCCCTCAGTGTGGGCACTGTGCCTCTCTTACTGCCATCTGAGGTCACATTATAACAGTACAGGGCCTAGAACAAGCTCCCCTCCCTGGAGTACTCCATTAGAGACCTACCTCCATGTTGACATCTATCGACATCCTTAGAACCATTTGAATTAACTGGTCCCAAATCTACCTAAACCTTTTGTTGTCGACATCTCCTTACTCCTCCTTACCCTGATATCCAGTCAGTTATCAGAACTTGCTGTTTCTGCTTACGCAGCATCTCTCACCTAGCCCTGTCTTTTTGTTCAAACAACCACCACCTTAATTTAGGTCTTTACCACCTCTTTCCTAAATTATTGAAACAACCTTCTGATAGATCTCCCTGTCTCAAGTCTCTTCCCACTTCAATCCATTCTCTCTACATAATTACCAAAGTGATTTTCAATAAGAGTAGATCCAACCATGTTACTTGCCAGCTCAGTAAATCCCTGGTTCTCTGTTGCTTGTAGGATAAAGCAGAAACTTAAACTTATCTATTTAGCTTTTAAAGCTTTACATAATATGATGTGAACATCTTTCCAGCCTTGTTGTGCATTTTTTTCACTCCATTCTCTAGTCTAGGCCAACTGGAGTTCTCTTTGTTTCTCATGCATGTACAGTGAAGTCCATCTCCTTTCTCCATGTCTTTGCAGGGGCCTTCTCAGCTAGCTAGCATTCACTCCCTCCCTCACTCCTGCCTTGCAAAATTCATCACTGTCTGTAAGATACCGCCTTCTGAATGAAGATTTTCCTGATTCTTCTGCTATTACAGTTAAACTCCCTTTTATTTCTTTTGTATGTATTCTGTATCCTTATATGTAGACATGTCTCTGTTTCATTTTTTGTCTTTGCATTCTCAGCGTCAGCACAGTTAAGTACTTAATGAATACTTGTGGATTGAGTGGTTGGTTTCTCCATCTTGTCCACAAGGATATTGTGAGAGACTTTGTCAAATGCCATGTGAGATTAAAGTATGCTCTATCTATGGAATTCCCTTGGTGTATGAAGTGTATAAACTGAATTGTTGAATGTTAAATTACTGTATCTTATAGCAAGTTTTCTTGACTACTCAGGACATTGACTGATCTGGATTTAGAATAATTCATTGGAAATCCAAAGATGTAAATGTAGAGATAGCTGTAGTTGTGTGTGTGTGTGTGTGTGTGTGTGTATGTATGTATGTATGTATATATATGTATGTATATATATATATGTGTGTGTATATATATGTGTATATATGTATGTGTGTGTATATATATATATACACACACATATATATATACATATACATATATACACACACATATATATATACATACATATATATATATATGTGTGTGTATATATATGTGTATATATGTATGTGTGTGTATATATATATATACACACACACACACATAGGCATACACAGAAATGTGCATATATATGTATATGCACATATATACATACATACACACATACACATAGAGTGTTCTTTCCTATCCAGGCTCCCAAGTATATCTCACCTTCATGGTAACCCCAAATTATTTAGACATTCATATATGAGATGAAGTAACATTTTATATTCTCCTTCAATAGGTAGGTATGAATGGGAAAAGAAATAGAAATGTTTTCTACTTGGACACTAGATGTCAGCAGAGAACACGGAACATGTTGTCTAACTTTTTCCAATGCCTGTTTCACTATCAGTAATAACAGATCATCACCACCTATACGGTTTATGTGTTTAGATCTGTTTTTAAAGATGGCATATCACCTCTTCCACCTTCTCAATTACATTCCAACCTTTCTTCTTGCGTATCCACCATTGTCCCTTAATAAAAAAGGGAAATGGACTAGAATTTAGGTGCACTCTCTGGACCTTATTTGGTGATTCAAATGGGGTTTGGGCAAATACAATTACACCTAGTCCAGAAGGACTGTTAAAATTCTTCTGTTGTCCTAGAATTCTATAGTATTGAGTAGTGTTTAGAGAAAAAGAAACCCCTCCAAATGGTCTATCAATAGGGCTTGTAAATATTCTTTTGTTGTAAAAGAAATTTTTGTTGTAATTGTAATTTTGTTAATAAGATTTAACCTGAAAGAGGAAATTGGTCATTCTGTTTTTTTAAAGAATAATAATACTGTAGCTTTCTTTTATGTAGTCATTCAAATACATTTTTCTCACAATAGTCCAAGGGGTTAGTATCTTTGGCCTTGTTGTACAGATGAGAAAACAGCCTTAGTAAGGTTAAGGGACTTACCCAAGACCTCATGTTGTTATTTAGTCCTTTCTTCAGTAGCATCTGACTCCTTATAACCCCATTTGGGGTTTTCTTTGAAAAGATCCTGGAATAGTTTGCCATTTCCTTTTCTAGCTCATTTTACAGATGAGGAACTGAAGCAGACAGAGTTAAGTGACTTGCCCAGGGTCATACAGCAGGTGTCAGAGGCCAGATTTGAACTTCCTAACTTTAGGCCCAGTGCTCTATCCACTGTGCCACCTGGCTGCCCTGCCCAAGACCTCATAGTAAGTTACAAAGCTGGAATTTGAACTCAGTTCTACTGTATCAGAAGAAAGTCTTGAATTTTTAAAGTTACCAGTGTTGCAGGATTGGAACTATATGTCATTGTGAGATACCCAGTATAAGAAGGCAGTTAGAGAGAGATGATTTTGGACTATTGTAATTTCTACATGTATTTTGAAAAACTAAGAACTGAAACACTGCTTTGAATTGTATTAATCATTAGATAACCATCATTAATTTCATACATAATGGTTTGGCTTTGGATGTATAGGGTTTGCATTTTTTTTTAAATTTGTATTTGTCACAAAATCTTAGCACATTATGACTTGCACATTCTGGAATCAGACCATTAGGTCCCTAGACACCTTGACTTAAATTCCAAAAAATTGTTTCATTCTATTAATTCTGACTATTCTTCCTAATTAAATACTTCTTTTGTTTCCTCCCCTTTTCTTTCAGATTACTGGTGTCATTCTTCTGGCAGTTGGAGTCTGGGGCAAGCTTACTTTGGGCACATACATTTCTCTTATTGCAGAGAACTCCACCAATGCCCCCTATGTGCTCATTGGGACTGGCACCACCATTGTGGTTTTTGGCCTATTTGGATGCTTTGCCACATGTCGTGGAAGCCCATGGATGTTAAAACTGGTGAGTGTGTCAATAATGTGTGCTGCAATAGTGAAATTGCTTATGCAGTGATTTTTTAAAAAGGCATACAGAGGAGAAATGGTGATTCTTTGGGCAAGAAAGGCTTCAACATCCACAGACTCATTTAGTCATTATCTCCCTGCTAAAAGCAAAGGAAAAATTCAGTTTTAGCCAGACCTAATTAATACGGAGAAGAGTGCTAAAACAACAGTGGGTTGCCTCTGTGAGGCTGACTGGCAAAAGCTGTTGCTAGGGAACATAAAGATGACCTTTACAACCTCATGGCAATATGCCCTGATGCTAGTTTTATGTGCCACACTGGAAACTTCCTTCAGCCGCATTACACATTTTCACCAAGCAGCTCAGGAGCATGACCAGCAGCCTTCCATTTGGAGTGACCTCCTTGTTCCCTTTTGGGAAATCAATTTTCTCGTCTCAACTGTGGCTGCACTTGGCTGTTCACCCTCCTCTCTAAATCAACACTGTCTAGCCACAAGCCATGGAGATCCAGCTGTGTCACAGAGCACAGCTCGGCTGAAAGTTTGCACAATGTTAGGTTGCTTTCTCCTGGCCCGGAATTACTGCTGTGCTTTTCACCCCTTAAAAGCTGCTGTCTTATTACTCCTCACTGACCCTATATTTAGAGAAATGTGAAAGAAAAGAGGCAAAATGATAAACAGTAGACAAAACGTGAATCTGCTGAGGCACTAGACTCATCTTCCCTTTGCTCACTTGAGTTGCTTCATATCTTGCTGCAGTCATAAGGTCCCAGCTTTCAGAACCAATGTTAAAAGTATATTTACCCTTTTACATTACATTTACACTAGCAAGTATTTACCCTGTATTTACACGAGCAAGCAGAAAGAATGGCTAAACTTTGGGGTTGTGAGCTGCTGGGATTATTAGTGTTTTGGCCAGCCATTTGTCTACATTTTGTGCTCAAGGTGCCTTTCATAACACTCTTCATTTCTGAAAATTACTATAGTAGTTTTTGTAAATGAAAGGAGGTCAGGGTCCCCACTTAATGTTAAATTGCATTAAATGGGGCCTGTGTTAAATGTGCTACTCAGTGAGTGGGTGAGGTAGCAAATCTTTCAGCCCTACCTTGCTTGATTTAGCTTAACCCTTATCACATTCACTACTATTTGATGACAGAACTATGTCCAGTTCACATCGAAGAAACTACTTTGATAGTTGCTATTATTTGGTCTTTGTTGTCAGTCTCTATAGGCGGGATGAACAATAGGTCCCTGTCCACCTTTCTCTAACAGTAAAATGTGCAAACAAGAAATGGAACTAGAGGCTGAGGTACATCACTGCTGTTCCTGTCTGAGCAAGGCCTATCCATCTAGTACTTCTCAAAAATAAGACTATTTCCTTTTAATATGTCTAGGGTTGACCTTGGACAAAAAAAGGGCAAGGGGAGAGGGAAATGACTATTTTCAAAGCAGTGGTTACTGACCTAGTAAAAGAATTTAAGACTCATATAAATACACACACTGATATGCAATGTAACCATGTAGCCCCTGCCCAAACTATAGAATCCCTGAACACTACTCCAAACCTGTAAGACTACAAGCTATAAGTTGAGATAAAAGTAATATTTGGGAGGAGTTCGCTTTGGAGCAGGAAAAAGAAATGTATAACCATCAGAACCTGGGTTCTAGACCCAGCTCTAGAACTGAATAGCGTAATTATGTGATCCTTTGATGAGTTTATCCCCATAAACAAATATACTAGTAATTCAGTGACAGACAGCAGACTGGCTAGTTGAGGGGAAAGGAAGCTGATGGAAGAGTAGGATAGATTATAAAGAAGTAGCAGCTTCAGCTTCTGACATCTGTGTCTAACACAGGCTATTCTTAATGGTCAAGGTACTCCAGGTACTACATCCTCCACCAAGAAGACAAATATACACCCCTAATGCTATGTAAAAAGGTAGAATTTCCAGGGTTAGTACTTTCTTTGCTAAGTTTTCCTCTCTTATATGAGCTCCAAAGTCATAAATGTAAAAGTCTTTGGTTACTTAAGTTGAACCTGGTAAAAGGCTTGTGGGCATTACATGCAGAGCAAAAGATTTTCAGGTGAATATTCCAACACTTGAGTTGATATTTCCAAGAACCCACTGGGTAAGGTCCATGACCTATTTACAATGATATGGATGTGCAGGAAGAATTCTCTTAGAGATAGGAAAACATTGTGATGTGAAAAGTATTTGGAAGAGTCGAGCTATGAACTAGTTACATTCAGATCAGTCCATCTGCATTGTTTGCCCCAATAATTGCTAATCCTGTATTGTTGTTGTTGTTTCAGTTGGGATAATCTCAAAATCTTATGTTTAGAAAAATTAAATTAATATTCCTTGCCATTAACATATATGAAGCTAATCTAGTAAAAGAATTTGAGCTTGACATACGTATACACATATAGTCAATGGGATGACCACATAGTGACTGCTCAAATTGTAGAACCATTGAACACCATTCTAAACCTATAGAGCCACCAGCTATGACTTGACATAGAAGTAAGTATTTCAGGGAGATACCCTCTTGGGCAGGAAAGAGAAATGTGTATTCTAAAAGTTTTTTATTCCTGATATTTATTGCCCAGCTTCTAGCTCTAAATCTCTATTACTAAAAATGTCCTGATTTTAATTCTTCACATTTGGTCTTGTTCCTTTTTCTCCCCCAGTATGCTATGTTCTTGTCCCTGGTGTTCTTAGCTGAACTGGTGGCCGGCATCTCAGGATTTGTTTTTCGCCATGAGGTAAGTACATACAAATCAGGGGACAGGAACCATACTGTTTTTAGAAGGGAAGATTCATTAAAACCTCTTAAAATGTGCACAGCACATGCAAAATGCTGAGTTTAGTTTATTTACTAGCTGTATCATGGGCTGAAATTATGATTTCAAATGAACAGATTTGTCTGAAGCTCAGAGGCTTAATTATTGGATATTTACTCCTAAGCAGTCTTTATGTGTCCATCATGAAAGGTCATTCTCTAGCCCTTTACAATGCCAAGGCTTATAATATACAACATATATGCTTTTAAAATATAGCTGTTTCAGTAAGATGCACACATAGGTATATAGCACATGCACACGTAACAGAGGGAGGATTTTTCAAGGCTGCAAAGCCAAGCACACATAGGTATATAGCACATGCACACGTAACAGAGGGAGGATTTTTCAAGGCTGCAAAGCCAAGCCAAATTAGTTTCTTTGATATATTGTAAATATTATATCTTCCCAGAAGTAACAGTAAAAAAAATAGATATGTGTGTTTATGATTTTAAAATTAATAAATTAATTTATGTAAAAATTTAAAGAAAGGCATTAAAGAAAACCCTTTGTCCATTTTTTCTTGAGCAAATGTTGGTCAGTGAAGTCTGTCGGTCTTTTTTTTTTTTTCTTCCTGAGAAGCAATGGGAATTTCTACAGCTGGTTTTAATATCCCTTAAGATGACCTGTTCTTTACAATTCTACTGTGAGTAAGAGTGAGTGAAACCATGGAAAGGAACGCAAATCCAAATCAGATGGTTGGAGAAACTAACTAGTCCCTGGCTTAAAATGTAATATTCCCTTGACCTTGGTTTAGCTTTTCAACAACAAACTCTCCTTTCCCTAAATACTATCCTATCTCTGACAGTCCCTTGCTTCTACTTCATTAAATACTTTTTCACATATAAATGACAGAACCATGGCCCTAGTATTCCCAGGCAGGTGATAAGAGGTACTATTTCAGTAATAGATCATTTTCTTGAGTCAATTCACTACACTTACCACTATCCTCTCCTAAGTCATGCTCTTCAAATGCTCAAATAAATCTGATTTCATCAGTTTGGATATCCCCTCCAGTGATGCAAATTGCAACCTGTCTATGACTGCCCGTCCTGTAAGATTCTTCTTGTCCATGCTCTACAATGAGTTTGCTACAGGAGTCCACCCAAGTGTACTGTGAGTCTTCCTCACCTCCCACCATCATAAAGATAACAGGACTGTTTACCTATAATCTTTCCCCTTAACTAGGTCATCAGCACCATCCTTTATTTCTGTACATTTCCCTGATGACATTTTTAATTTCTCTTCTTCTTTGAAGTTATTCTTTGATTATGCATTGTAAGTGCTTAGTGCCCCTTCCCCCCAGCACCTCCTCACTCTTTTTTATTCATCTTCAGTTCCTAAAAGACTGTTGTGTTCCATGTCTCACAGCCATACAATAAAACTCGTAGAATTTTGGTATTAAAAACATGGACTTTTGTTTTTAGAAGAAGCTTGGAGTATTTAAAGGTGCTTTTCAAATTCCTGAAGATAATCCAGCCTGCTCTCCTCCTTCTGTTTAATTCTGGGCCCAACTTATCCATTTGTTTTGTCAGTCCCAAACATTCGTACTTATACAATTCATGCAGTAAAGTCAAGCTTCATTCTTGTTTTTAAAGAATATTGAAAACAAACAAAAAACTCTGGTTATAAAAGACCTTAAGGAACATTTCTAGGCCTTAGTTTCTTCCTGTAAAAAAAAGAGGGGATTGGGCTGAGTGATCTCTGACTACCCCTTGAGCTTTAAGAGTTATGTGTCTCCTCCTGGGCTCTACCTCCCACGTGCAGTTTTCCCAAGGGCTTATCTTAAAATGAAAATTAGCATGTTATCATGAATTTGCTTGTCTTCGTGTCCTCAGCACTTAGCATGGTGCTTGGCATATAGTAATCACTTAATAAATGCTTGTTGTCGTTGTTGTTGTTGTTGTTGTTGTTGTTGACTGAGCTTCTCAAGTGGTGGAATGACCTCACCTTGCCTGTCTGCTATCCTTCTTTAGATCAAGGACACTTTCCTTAGGACATACACTGAAGCCATGCAGAATTACAACGGGAATGATGAGAGAAGCCGTGCAGTGGATGATGTACAGGAGAGTGTAAGTTTAAAATGGCAAGACAGAGAGTTAAGGAAAGAACTCTCTGCAAAGCCATTTGTCAGTTGCAGTTTGGAGTTTCTGATGTGCTACCATCATTAATTTTACTCCCTTCTCCAGTGTGAGGATTTACTTTTTTTTTTATTTTTTGATCATGTCATTGCTTGAAAGATAAAATGGTACCCGAGTTCAGTTTCCTACAGATTGGCTTTCAACAATTTACCCAGATGCTAAGAACTTCACAGAAAAGGAAAATCTCTCTTCAGTCACATGCCTTTTGTAACTAAACACATGCCTTTTCTTCCTGAATACGTGCCTTGATAATAGCAGAATTGTATCCGTTGGAAAGTTGATATGTCCAATAGGCAGGTGGTAATGTAGGGATTGGAGTTTAGAAGAGAGTCTGGGGCTAGCTGTATTGATCTAATGGTGATCTGAATTAAGATAATAATTAAATCCATAGGAGCTTTTAAGTTCACCAAGAGAATGAAAAGAGAAAAGGATAGAGCCTCAGGGGTGTACCCAAAGTTAAGGGGTATAGTCTGGATGGTGATCCTACTGAGGAGGCTAAGAAGCATTGAATAGATAGGTAAGAGGAAAATCAAGGCAGAATAGTATTAGGAAAACTTAGTTAGGAGAGAACTTCCAGGTCAGCAGAGGCAACAAGTTAAGAAAGGTGAGTACTGGCCCTGGAGTCAGGAGGACCTGAGTTCAGATGTGGCCTCAGACACATAACATTCACTTAACCTCAGTTGCCTCACGAAAAGAAAAAGAAGAGTACAGAAAAAAGACCATCAGCTCTGTCATTTAAAAGATAATTGGTAATTTTAGAGTGAACAGTTTCAGTTGAATGGGAAGATAAGAAACCAAAAGTCAAAGGGTTGAGAAGTGAGTGAGAGAAAGTGAATGAAATGACTATAGATAGCTTTTTCTAAGAGGATGGTTGAGAAAGGGAGGTAGGATGATAGCTCGAGGGATTGGTAGGGTCCAATGAATTAAGAATTGGGAAGACTTGGGCATATTTGAAGACAGCAGATAGGGGAGATGTTAAAGATTACAGAGAGGAAATATAATTTTGAAGGTAGTCTGCTAGAGAAGATGGAAAGGAATTGGATCAAGGGTACATGGGGGGGTAGTCTTGATAAAGAGAAAAGTTGTCTCATCAGAGAGTGGTGTGAAGGAGGAGAGACTGGGAGATGATGTCAGGGGGTTTGGATTTGAAGAGAAGAAGCTCACAGTGAATAGCTTCAATGTTCTCACTGTAATTGTGCTATAAGAAATGTTGAAGGGGCAGTATCAGGAAACTTGGGTAGATTTCTGTGAACTGATGCAAAGTGAAGTGACCAGAACCAGGAGTACAGTTTATACAATACAGCAGTATTGTAAAGATGAAAAACTTTGGAAGACTTAAGAATGCTGATCAATGCCACAACCAACCATGAGTCCAAAGGATTCACAATGAAATATGCTACATGCTTCCTGATAGAGAGGTTATGGACTCAGATTGAGATATGAGTATTTTTTTGGACGTGGTCAATGCCAGAATTTGTTTGCTTGACAATATGTATTATTAAGATTTTGTTTTTCTTTCTTGTTCCCATCAGTTGGGGTGGGAGGGAAGAAAGGTGGTTTTTCATTATTTGAAAAAAGAAAATTTTAATTAAAAAAATTCTTGAAGGGTAGAGAGTTTGGAACAAGTTCTGGGTGGAAACAGTATAGAAAATCAATTAGAGAGAAGTAAAGGATTGCCTTGCCACAGTGAGGATCCGGTTATTTATGATACACAATTGTAGTGGACCCAGTCAGCTTGGTTGCTTGAAATCCTCCAGCCCCATTCGGCAGCACTTGAGTAGAAGTGGAGAATTCAGATGGTGGAAGTAATCCAGGGTTGGGATTTGGTAAGACATGGGCAGTGATGATACCAGGGGGCAAGGAAATTCAAGAACATAGGAAAGTATGGACTTAAACTGGTTAACAATAGCATCAAAATTGGAAAGTGAAGTCAGAACAGAGGTAATGGCTCAAGAAAGTACTAAGGGATAAAGGGACTGAAGGTCTCAGTGATACAGAGATTTGATTCATTGAAGGTTTAGGAAGAGAGAGATGGAAGGATAGGATATTAGCAGATAGAAGAATGTTCTAGCTTTTTATTGTATAAGTGAAACACTTCTGAATAATGGTGAGATCTGGGGTCTGGCCACACCTGTGCGTGGTTGAGGTGGCATGAAGTAGTAGGTTATTGGCTTTGAGGAGATGGAGGAGCTGCAGGAGTGAAGGTGTCTTGAGGGAGCATTAACATGGATGCTATCATAAGCTTCAAGCTGGAGAAGAGAGGAAGATGGTGAGTGAGGTATTACCTCATTATGAAAAAATTAGAGAATGACTACTTTGTGATTCTTGGCCTCACTATCATGATACAAGTGATTTCCCAGATCTTGTTTTTGTTCGTTGTAGCTGAGCTGCTGTGGTGTTCAGAACTATACTAACTGGAGTACCAGCCCATACTTTGTGGAACACGGGATCCCTCCCAGCTGCTGCATGAATACCAGCGATTGCAACCCCCAGGATCTGCGCAACATGACTGTGGCTGCCACTAAAGTCAATCAAAAGGTTTGTTCCCTTGAGGCCTGTGAAAAATCTTCCCTCAGTAACTTTATAATTTTGCCAATTGATGTGCTGGATTTAGAATAGGGTGAAATGGGGAGAGGAACTTGGGAGGTAGTTGTTTAGGATTTTTTTCCATGACTCTGAGAGAGATGTTAGAAATAGAAACCAACAGAAGGAATCAGAGTTCTGATGTTTTTGGTACCTTGTTCTACGCCCATTTTCCAAAACATTCAGAGCATAGGAATCCATTACTCAGTTCAGTCTGCCTTTTCTTGTTGCCACAACCCATCAAAAAGTTAAATAGCTTTAGATTAAGGAAGTATATGCAGTTATGCTTATGTCAAGCAGTGGATATTACTTTTCTTTCTGGGTTTCTTTTGTGAACATGAAAACGTTAGCAGCTGGAGGCCAGCATTTAGGCAAAAAGAGAGGGAGAGAGATGGAGGTTGACTAATAGTGAGTGTTGTGGTTCTTCTGAAAATGTTAGCCTTAGTGAACTCATGCTGCTGTAAGAACAAACTAACAGACCCTTCCTCAGCTTACTGCTCACTCCCTGAGCCCTGTGAAAGAGAATCCAGTAAAGGGCAGCACAAAGTAATAAGAAGGGAATTTAAAATGCAAAAATGAGAAGAGTAGGGTTCTGTATTGCAGTTTGCCAAAAGATGTGACGGAGCTAAAGGAACAGTTCACCAGTGGTCTTAAGGAACTATTTTAGATAATCCCATTTTAATTTGTGTAAATCTCTTTTGGCAAAGCTGCAGGAAAAAAATTAAACTACTCTTCAAGTTGTCTGTGTTATGCAAATATAAGTTTTTTTTATTCATTCTAGCATTCTTTTTTTTGGTTTTAATTTTATTGTGTGTGTGTGTGTGTGTGTGTGTGTGTGTGAGAGAGAGAGAAAGAGAGACAGAGACAGAGACAGAGGGCAAGAAGGGGAATGGTGATTACTCATGCTTATGTCCTGCTTTATAGTTTACAAAGCACTTTGTTCATGAAAATCCAATGAGGTATGTGTTGCAACTATTATTGTCTCAATTTTACATATGGGGAGACCTGCTCAAGGTCACACAATTCAGTAATCATTTGTTAAGAATTTAATACGTTTAAAGAACTATATTAGACGCTGGGAATACAAAGACAAAACATAGAAGAGTCTCACCTTTCAAGGAGCTTATATTCTCTGAGACATGGAGAGCTACAACTTGACTACAGATAAGTAAATACAGTAAGTATACATTCAGTCATGGGAGCATGTAAATCTCCACAGAAGTTACTGGAAGTGGGAGATGGGCAGACAACTTGGAGAGCAGAAAAGGCCTCACTGTGGAGATGGCTTCTGAGCTGAGCCTTGAAGAGTGAAGAATTTGCAAAGGCAGTGATGAGAAAGGGAGTGTTTCAGGTGTGCTGGACCACAATTGCCCAGGCAGACGTAGAAATGGAATGTTGTGTACAGCACACACAACGTAAGCCAGTGTGAGAGGGAATGATATGAGCTAGGAAGAGGTAGGCTGTATGTATTAAAATTATGGAAGGCTTTATTACCAAACAAGAGTGTACATTTCATTGTAGAGGCAATTGGCAGCCACTGAAAATTCCTGAGCAGAGGAGTGAGATGGTCACACCTTGCAGTTTGGAAAAGGGATCAAGAAAACCAAAAAGGAGACTATTATAATTGTTCAAGTTAGAGGTGATGAGGGCCTGAATTAGTACGGTGAACACATGAATGGAAAGAAAAGGAATGGGAGAGAGTGAAGAGCCAAAAATATTCTGAGGTTGTAACTGGAAGGATGATAATCCCTATGACAAAATTAGGAAAGTTAGGAAGAGGGGAAAGATAATTTTTCAGTTTTGGATGTATTAAGTTTGAAATGCCTGTTATTATCCTATTCTTCCTTTCTCAGAGAGTTCAGCACCTGGCTCATCATCTTCCTCTCCTTCCCAACTCCTGCCCTTACACTGGGGAATTTCAGTGGCCATGTTGATGATTTTACAAACTCCTTAACCTTCTAATTCCTTGGTCTTATAGCAATGGTCAAGTGTTGCATCTTACAATTACCTACTTCCCTTTAAAACTAAAACAAATAAACAAACACAACAAAAAGTCAGCCCTGACATTTGTCTATCTGACCATAACCTCCAGTTGTTCCATCTCTCCTAAAACTGCTCTTTACCCTCAAGACTTCCAGTCCTTCCAGTGCCCCTCAGTACTTTCTGAAGCCCTTACTCTATAGTTGACCATAACAGCACTGTACTGTTATTGACTCTGGAATCCCTGACCTCCTGTCCTGTCAGTGCTCATCACTAGCCCTGCCATCGCTCCCACCATCTACCTCCTCCACTTTCTCATGTTGCTGAATGGAGCTAGAGGAAGTCATTCAACTCTGCTGACTGAGTGCACTCTAAATTCCTGTCATCCAACTGGAACAGAACCATTGTTGCAGCATGATGATCCTTTTATTCTTCTGTAATTGATTGTCTCTTTTACTCCCCATGGAAACTATTATAAACCCTCTCTTCTCTCCTGAAGACTCCCACACTTCTCCCTCCCACCTTTTACTTAGCTGAGGACCATGACTTACTTTAGTGAGAAAATAAAGGCCATTTGCTGTGAGCTCTCTCTTCTCCCCTTCTCTTCATTATATAATCCATTGACAACATCTCCCACTCATCTTCTTTTCTCCCCACTCAGCCTGTCTTCTGGTCAAGGCTAATTTTTCTATTCTTTCCAAATTGATCCCACCCCTTCCCATTTTTCCTACAGTATCCCCTCAATCATCTTTTCTCTGTAATCTTCAACTTCTCCCTGTTTATTCCTTCCCCATTGCCTTCTAACATGCCCAAGTCTACCACATTAAAAAAAAATCTTCTTCAGACCCTACCATTCCCTCAAATTATCACCCCACATCTCTCTGGCCTTTCTCAGAAAAAAGCTGTTTATACTCATTGCCTCTACTTCCTCCTCTCTTCTATCTCAGCCCTTTGCATTCTGGCTTCTGACCTCATCACTCAATTGAAACTGCTCTTCAGAATTACCAGAGGTCTCTTGCTATGTCTAATGGTCTTCTCTCAGTGCTCTTTCTTCTTGACTTGTCTGCTGCTTTTGGCACTATTAACAGCCCTTTCCTCCTCTCCCCCCTGGGTTTTTGTGATACTATTCTCTTTTGGTTCTCTTCTTCTCTGTCCAACTCCTCAGGCTCCAGCTTATCCCCCATCTCCCACTCCTCTTCTTCTCTTTCATAGTGACCACATCATTTCTATACAGATAACTCTCAGATCTCTATATCTCTTGAGCTCTAGTTTCTACGTCACCAGTTGACTGTTGAACATCTTAAATGGGATTTCCCAGAGATATCTCAAACTCAGTGTGTGCAAAACAGATTCTTTCTCCTCCCTGCAAACCACCCTGTTCCAGACTTCCCTAGTACCACCATTCTTCCAGTATCCCAAGTTTGTTACCTTGGCATTGTCCTCACCATCTCACTCTCCCCAACTCTGTATGCCAATTAGTTACCAGATTTTGCCATTTTTAACCTCTGCAACATCTTACATTTGATGCCTTTTCTCTGTTCACACAGTAACTACCTTAGTGTAGCCCCCATCGCCTCTTGCTTTAGACTATTGCAGTGTGACCTAATTGACATCTCTGCTTCAAGTCTCTCCCAACTCGGATCCATCCTCCACACTGCTGCTCGAGCGATTTTGATAAGCACAGAACGACACTAACCTTGCCACTCCCCTACCCAGTAAACTCCAGTGACTCCCTAATGCCTTTAGAATAAAATACAAACTCCTCTGTTTAGCATTTAAAGCCTTCCTAACCTGGTTGCACACCTCTAGCCTCACTTGCATCGCACTCCTTTTTGCAGTTTGTGATCCAGCCAAACTGGCCTTCTCTCTGTTCTTAAGCACAAGACTCCATCTCCCATCTCTGGGCCTTTGAGCTCACTGTTCATCTCCCATAACTTCCTCCTCCCCTTCTCTTCGAAGAATCACTCTTTTCCTACAAGATTTAGCCTAAGTGCCACCTACAGGAAGCCTCTCCTGATCCCTCGTTCCCCTAATGCTCTCCCTCCCAAACTACCTTATATTTAGCAAGTTAGTATTTATTTGAGTTTATTCTTTTCATAGTTGTTCTTTATATACTTATGTATGTACTTGTTCTTGCCTCTGCTTGAATGTAAGTAGGGATTGTTTCATGCTTTGTATCCCTGGCACCCAGCACAGTGCCTGGCACAGTTAATAAAAGCCTGCCAGTTGATTGATCCAGGTGAAAATATCCATCTGGGATGAGAGCTTGGAAGAGATGAGGGCTGGAAATCTGTAAATTTTGGAGTTATTTGAATAGAGATTATAGTTGAACTGATGAAAGCACATAAGATCACCAAGAAAGAGAGTAGAGAGAGCAGAGATGAAGGCTGGGAACAGAACCCTGGGATACACCCACATCTAAGGGATAGGACTTGATTGACAGTCTTGCAGAGGAGATGGATAAGTCATGGTCTTACATATGGGAGGAGAAAGTAGAGAGAACAGCGACACCAAACCCAGCAAGGATAGAGTGTTCAAGAGAAGGCAACATGTACACCATGTTAAATGATGTAGAAGGACCCAGAAAGATGAGGATTGAGAAGAGGTGCTTGAATTTAGCAACTAATAGATTGTTAGTTCAATGTCTAACAGTAGGGGGATGAATAAATCCATTTTGTATATATTTTGGCACTATTAACAGTCCTTTCCTCCTCTCCCCACTGGGTTTTTGTATATACTATACTATACAATAATACCATAACATATGTAGTATATAATATAATGCTATAATGCAGTGAAAATGGACAAGATTCAGGAAAGAAATCTGGAAAGTCATTATGAAATAATGCAAAATTCAATTCGGTAAACATTTATTAAGCACCTCTTATGTGCCAGGCACTGTGCTAAGTGCTGAGGATACAAAAAAAGCAAAAGAAGGAACTTGCTGCCTAATAGGAGTGGGGGAAGAGTGGAGA